TTCCCCCAGCTTTATATGCTGAGCATGACATCCTGTGGTCTGGGATATCCCTGTGGTCAGAGAGGAACAGCTGTCCTGGCTGTGTCCCCCCAGCTCCTTGTGCACCCCTGGCCCAGCGCTGGTGGCTCAGGGTGAGGGGCAGAACAGCTCCTGACTCAGCAGGAGCTGAATCATCCCTGTGGGATCAGTGCTGTGCTCAGCACAGATCCCAAACACAGCACCACACAAAAGCTGCTGTGAGGAAAATGAACTCCACCAAGGGCAAACCCAGCTGATGGAGCAACCCTGGTGAAGGGGCAGAGACAGGTGCAGAAAGGCCCTTTCTTCTGTTTGAGTTGAGGCAGGTTTAGTGGGACAGACCCATCCCCTTCCCCCTAGAAGGAACTGCTAGGAGAAGTCAGGAGGCTTAAGAAACAGAAGCTCAGCTCAGGACCTTGGCCAGGTTTTAGGGGTGGTAAGGCAGGGAGAAGCCCTGAAGCCTCTCTGACCCTCTACATGTTCAGCTCAGGCTTTCTTGGTCCCTGGATTTGTCCCTGCTCTCTGTGTGGGGCTGCCCCCAGGGGTGCAGTGGTGGGTCTGTGTGTCCCAGGTGTGTCTCTGTGTGTCCCCCAGGTGTGTCTCTGTGTGTCCCAGGTGTGTCTCTGTGTGTCCCAGGTGGGTCTGTGTGCCCCAGGTGGGTCTCCATGCCCCAGGTGTGTCTAGGTGCCCCAGGTAGGTCTGTGTGTCCCAGGTGTGTCTCTGTGTGTCCCCCAGGTGGGTCTCTGTGTGTCCCAGGTGGGTCTGTGTGCCCCAGGTGTGTCTCTGTGTGTCCCAGCTGGGCCTGTGTGTCCCAGGTGTGTCTCTGTGTGTCCCCCAGGTGTGTCTCTGTGTGCCCTAGGTGGGTTTCTGTGTCCCAGGTGGGTCTGGGTGCCCCAGGTGTGTCTCCGTGCCCCAGCCTGCCCTGCCCTCAGGGGCTGCCCTCCTGTGCCCCCAGGGCAAGCGTGTGATCGGGGAGGATGGCACGGAGGGTTACAGCGACCTGTTCCGGGAGAACGCCATGCTGCAGAAGGAGAACAGCGCGCTGCGCATGCGCGTCAAGGCCATGCAGGAGGCCATCGATGCCATCAACAGCAGGGTCACCTACCTCATGAGCCAGGAGGCCAACATGATGCTGGCCAAAGCAGGTGGGGCTGGGCTGTGCATGGCATGGGGGGCCAGCCCAGGGAGCAGCTGGGCCGGGGGCTGGGGGACAGCAGGGTGTGCCTCTCTCAGCGGTGTCTCTGCGCTGCAGGTGACGGGAACGAAGCCATCGGCACCCTGATCCAGAACTACATCCGGGAGATTGAGGAGCTGAGGTGAGCAGGCACACTGCTGGGAGGTCTGGGCTCCTGGGGCCAGGGGCTGGGGATGGGGGGCTCACACAGCTCAGTGCTGTGTGATTTCCACTGCTGCTATGCAGGGTTGAAGGAGGCCCAGCCTTGGTGGCAGGAAGTGCTTTGGCTATTGTTGTCTTTGGTATGGGCATTGGTGGTGAGGCAGAGTGGAAATTTTCCAGGGTAGAAATCTATTTTGATTTAGGTGGAAGGTACATCTTTAAGTATGTAGCTTGTTGTGTAGTCTGGCTGCAAAAAGCCTAGGCTCAGAGAAACTGCTTCAGTGAAAGACAGAGATAAGAGGGGGGCAGACAGAGAGTGATAGAGAGAGACAGAGACTGCTGTGTGAGCAAGTCAACTTGACTTAAGAATTCTTTCTGATAAAGAGGAACTACCAGCAAATGTACACAAAATTTGTAAAAATTAATATATATAAACCTATTGTGAAATTGTATGCATACGTATCTGAGAGAGAGATAAAAAAGAACCTGAAGTTCCCAGAAGTACACATGTCATTTTGAGGGGAACGATTCCCACATGCGTCCAGCGCTGTAATAAACACCCCGGCTTTACAACTTTCACAAAAGTTGTGGAGTTTTGATTATCTCTGCAAAACAATGGAGGGGGAAGTTCTATTGGAAGTGCCTGGGGTCTTCCAGGGACTGCTGCCTCCCAAAGGTGGGTCCATGCCACCCTGCTTGATCCTGGTACCCTGTCTGGCAGCACTGTGGCTTTCTGACCCATCAGTAGATGGAGTGGCTTAGTAGTGACTGTCTCTGGCTCACACCACCTGAGCACATCATGTTCAGTCTGTAGAAGACTCTGGGGAGACCCTAGAGCCCCTTCCACTGCCTAAAGGAGGCTATAAGTAAGAGGGAGAGAGCTGTTGTTTTGTTTTTTTTTAGTGTGGACAGGTAGTAATGGGACAAGGGAAAATGGCTTTAAACTAAAAGTGGAGAGATTTAAATCAGAAGTTAGGAAGAAATTCTTCCCTGTGAGGGTGGTGAGNCGAGACCAAGAGGAACCGGGAGATCGCACAGCTCAAGAAGGAGCAGCGCCGGCAGGAGGTCAGAGCCCGGCTTGCCATATGTGCAGGAGGCATGGAGAGGGGATACTTCAGAAGCAGGGGGAAGGACCACAAGGATCCCCAACTCCCTGCTCTGGGTTATCAGCCTTTTTGGAGGTGTCTTGGGCTGCCAAAAGCCTCTGCACTCTGCCTCAAGATTGTGACTGGTCTGGCTGGGGAGGGGGTTTGTCCTGCTCTGGCACTCCAGGAGCTCACAGATAGCTTGGTGAAGCCTCACTGGAGGTCCTAACAGAGCACAGCTGGATGAATGGCTCCCAAAGGCTTCCCACTGCTCCTGTTGGAGTTGTGGGGGATGCTGTGAGAGGGGAAATGTGCAGCCAGAGCCAGCTCAGGGCTGGGAGCCTGTTCGTTGTTAAAATCAGGAGTGAGACTATGCCAAAGGGAGCACTGGGACTGCGACCACATCTGGGCTGGACCTCAGGGGTGTCCTTTTCTTTCTCACTCCTGCAGTTCCAGATCAGGGCTCTGGAATCTCAGAAGCGACAGCAGGAAATTGTGCTGCGGAGGAAAACGCAGGAGGTGAGGAAAGGGGGTTTCCTCCACACAGCCCCCAGCTTCCATGGGGGTCTGGGCCCCAGTGCTTGGCTCAGAGAAATCCCATCTTTCAATAAGGCTGGCTTTGGGAATGGGGTCCCCAAAAGGCAGGGAGAGGTTTTATGGCTCAAGAACCAGGTGGGAAATGGATGTAGGCAGCAGCAGAGTTCCCCATCCCCAGCAGCAGAGCCTGATAGCGGTGGGGGGGGTTTGAGGGAGGAGGGGGAGCCCCATGAGGCACAAATATCCCTGGGCTTTGCTGCTCTCAGACCTGTGGGGACCTGGGGGTGATACCAATGTGTTTAGGCTGGGTGGGGCTGCCCAGCTGACACCATTTGCTGTTCCTTTAAGGGAGTCCCCCCTAAGCTGTGTGTTCCCTGGTAGCAGCAGGCAGGCAAGGAGACTCCAGATTAGGTGAGGATTTATTGGGGGTCCCACCCCTGGGAGCAGCAGGGTTTCTGAGGGAGAAGGGGGGAAAGGGGGAGAGAGAGGGAGAGCCTAGGGGGAAAAGGGCCAAGAGAGAGCCTGGTCTCCCTCGCACAGGTTAATAGCAGGCACGGAATAAGCCTTGGGTCAATGGGATTACAGATCTGTGACACTTCAGGGGAGGATCACAGGCTTGGAACAAACCCTACATTTTCCAGGGGTGAGACTGAGCATACATTAAACTAAAATGCAACACCACAGACCCTCTCCTCTGTCCTCCCTGGGCAGGTGTCAGCGCTGCGCCGTCTNTCTCCCCTTTGTCTCCTGTTTCCCATCACGTAATTCCAGAGACTGTTTTCCCCCAAAGGGTCCAAAAGCAGCAGGGAGGGGAAGGTGGCCCAGCAGAAGCTGTTTCTGGCCTCTCTCATGCTGGGACTCACCAGCCCCCCTCTGTTCCCCCCAGCCCAGAGAAGGAGGCATTTAAGAAAAGGCAGAAACTGCAGCAGGATAATGGGGAGGAGACGGATGAGAACGAGGTGGAAGAGGTGAGTGAGCATTATGCTCATGCTATGAGGGGGGGTGTCTGGGTGGTGGAGCACTGAAATTGCCACCCATGGGACAGGGACCAAGCTCAGGCTGGAAGGGTCACTCTGCTAAGGGCTCCATGCTGGAGCAGGGTGGAAGCTGGATACTCCCCAGTCAGCCTGGATGTAGAATGAGGAGTCCATGTTTTTGGGGGCTTGGATTTAATCAGCATAGATGAAGAGGGGTCAGCTAGGAAGGGATGGATGGGTCAAATTGCTGTTCCTCTCAACAGGATGTGCTGGGGGTCCAGAAATGGTGCTGCAGCCCCTGGGCATGCTGTGTGGGAGGCTGAGTCCCATTTGGGGGGCTGTGGCCCATTGCTGTAGGGTGAGCTTAGGTTTGGAGGAGGGAGAAGCTGTGGGGAGAAGGACAGACCATCCTGCTGGCTGAGATTAGGCACTCATCTCTTAGGAGGAGGAAGAACAAGATGAGAGTGGCTGTGAGGAAGAGGATGGGCGCGAGGATGAAGATGAGGACTCGGCCAGTGAAGAGAGCCTGGTGGACTCGGACTCGGATGCAGAGGAGAAGGGTAAAGTGGAGATCTGTGTGCAGCCATGGGCATGGAGGGGCACTTGCTGGCATCTCTGGCAATGAGCTCTGGTCTGGGGGAGGCAGAGCTCACCATGCCCCAGCCATGCCTGCTCTGTGGGATTTGGAGAGCCCCAGGGTGCTGCAGTGCTCTGTGGGGGCTGCTGCTCCCCAGCAGTGGGGGTTCCCATCAGCCCTCTGCCCTCTCCATGTGCTGTGTGTCTTGGTTTGGAAAGGCAGGAGTCTGCTAAGGAAGGCAGGAGCCTCCCCTGAAATGGAGAATGTAAATCCTCCTCACCCCTCCAAATTGCTATAAATTTTAAATTAAGGGGCTCTCAGGCAAAAATATGGGAGCAGGAAATAACAGTTCTTTAATAGGGAAGGGAAAAAAAAAGGATAAAATAAACAATGCAGTAAATCAAAACAACACTGCCAGAGTCAGAACCCAACCTGACACCCTGTGGGTCAGGCTGTTGGCAGCAGTCCCATTGGAATTGTGGCTCAGCCCTCCTGCAGTGTCAGGGCTGGTTCTGCTGGAGCAGGGATCCTGGAGAAAGGTGCAGTCTCTCTCTGAAGATCCAGGGGAAGAAGAGGCAGCTGCTGTTCCTCTGGGGAATCCAGTGGAGAAAGCTCAAAAACCTCTGGATTATATCCGGGTAGGAATGCTTGGCTCCTCCCTCTGGGCTCACATCTCCCAATGGGATGCCGTAGTTCTTATCAGTCAAGCAGGGACATTCAATAGTCTGTTATCAGCACATGTCCCCTCCGAGGGAGGTGTGGTTGTGGTCACTCAGAGAGAGAGATAAAGCAAACTGCCCACTGACAAAAGATAATCTGCCATACAGATGGTAATAGAAAACATCTTGCATTGCAATTTTCGACACTGTGACTCAGTGGGGCCATGCAAGTGATGCTCCCCATGGTTCCCAGCCTGACTTTCTCCTCTGCCTCCAGCTGTGAATTTCCAGGCCGACCTGGCAGATCTGACCTGTGAGATTGAGATCAAGCAGAAGCTGATTGATGAGCTGGAGAACAGCCAGCGGCGGCTGCAGACCCTCAAGCACCAGTATGAGGAGAAGCTGATCCTGCTGCAGAACAAGATTCGGGACACGCAGCTGGAGCGGGACCGTGTCCTGCAAAACCTCAGTGAGAACTGCCTCACCCTTGGGATCCCATTCCCAGACCCCAGTTCCAGCTCAAACCCAGCTAACTCTAAGTCAAAGCATCCAGCCCTTGCTCTGGTAGAGCTTTGCCATCCCGCTGCTTCTCCTTGAATCCCTGGTGCCCCCAAGACTCTGCTTGCCTTGCCATGGGAGCAGCATCAGTCAGCTGCACAGCTCTGCACCCTGCTGGTGCTGCAGAAGGGTGGCAAAGCCTCTTCCAGCCTTGAGCACCACTTCATGAGCTGGGGGGACTCCTGGGGAAACAGAGGCACAAAAGAGCCAGTGGTGTGGCTTAAACAGGGCAGGGTCACCCCTGTGTGTGGCTGTGTGTCCCAGTCTGCAGCTCTGCTCAGGCCAACCCTGTATCTCCACTCCTGCTGAGTTCTTCCAGCAGGATTCCCAGACAGACCCCGGTTCCTGATGGGTGAGGGGGCTCAGATGGGACAGGAGGGTCACAGTGCTTGGTGCCTCCAGGCAGGTCTGTGGGTGCAGGAGGGTCCTGGGGTGCATTGCGAGCTCTCTCCCCACCCACCAGGCACCATGGAGTGCTACACCGAGGAGAAGGCCAACAAGATCAAGGCAGACTATGAGAAGCGGCTGAAGGAGATGAACAGGGACCTGCAGAAGCTGCAGGCAGCCCAGAAGGAGCACGCTCGCCTGCTCAAGAACCAGAGCCGCTACGAGCGGGAGCTGCGCAAGCTGCAGGCAGAGGTGGCCGAGATGAAGAAGGCAAAGGTACCTGGATGTGCCGGGGCGGGGAGGAATCCTGGCCAAGCCTGGAGCAGCGTTTTGCACTGTGGTGGCAGCGCAGAGCGCTGTGTGCTGGGTGTGGGGTGCCCCGGGGCGGTGGCACAGTGGCCCCTCCTTGCAGGTGGCGCTGATGAAGCAGATG